TTTACTCTTTGTCAATTACTAATGCATTTAAGTGTTTCTCAATTGAGTTAGAGCTTAAGATAACCCTTGTTAATCTGACTGACTGACTGACTGACTGACTGACTGACCAACTAACTGACTGACAATCAAGAAAGTCAGCGCCACAAGCATATAACCACAGTCGACTCAGAAACACCAAAATAAAAAAAAAACCTCTCATGGCTTGGTCGCCTGCCTGGCCTTTTGTCATGCCACGATGTCGCAAAACCTAGAGAGAGCAGCTTACTGAGAAGGCAAGACAGGACACCTCACATCCTCTGCTCCACGATTTACATTTCAACAGTTGACAGTGAGAAGAGAAGACATGCGCGTCACCACAAATCTGGATAAACAATGAAACGGAAGAAAATATAGACTTTTTTTTTAATGGCGAAAAATAGGCTGTCTCAAAAAAATGTATACACACTCCCTTATATATTTTCGTGTAGATTAAGTGAATGTTTATTTTACATCAGCAACATCGTCTTCACTTGTAGGAGAAACATCGTTACATCAACAAATGGAGCCAATGGTATTGTTGAAATAGAAATATTAATACGATCTACACGACAAACTGTAAGAGAGTGTTGTATACATTTTTCTGAGACACTGTGTTTCATCTTCAGAACTACCAAGACTAAGACGTGAGAATCTCCCAGCCGGTGATGCAATATAGTAAAGGTGTTGCAAGAAGGTAATAGAACCAAGTCTTTCTGATATTCCTTTACAACCAAGAGCTTCTAATATACAGCGACAAGAACATGTTTAATGACTGAATGTGGTATTTATTTATTCTACTAAAATTAATCTTGTTTTAAATCTATTCAGTGTGTTTTACGTCTTTCCATCAATCATTGTAAATAGATATCTAATTAACACTGGTTGTATTTTACCTGATCAAAACACACCCCCCCCCAACCTTTAGTTTCCACCACATTGATACTCCTTCCATCGTCCTCTGAGCTTATAACACAGTACCCTGGGTCACATCTCCCTCCCGCCATGTTATTGTGTGCGTTGGGTCGTGTTGCCAGCGTCGCTACATCTCCTGAACCCAGAAACCTGAACCGTGACTGAGTTTGACAAAATAAACACTAGGATTTGTTTATTTTAGTGATGCTGTCCGTAGTTCTTGGCCAGACAATGGATGACAATTGACAGGAGGGAACAACTTACTCTCCAGATCCAAGCATTGTAAGACGGGGGTGTAAATAGTTCACCTAACACTGACAATTTGTTTATTTAGGGAGACAAAATCTACAAGAAACATCACAATAACACAAACATCACTATAGCACAAACATCATCACTACAACACAAACATTATCACTATAAAACAAACACCATCACTATAACACAAACATCATCACTACAACACAAACATCACATCACAATAGCACAAACATCATCACTACAACACAAACATCATCACTATAACACAAACATCATCACTACAACACAAACATCATCACTACAACACAAACATTATCACTATAACACAAACATTATCACTATAACACAAACATCATCACTACAACACAAACACCATCACTATAACAACATCATCACTACAACACAAACATCACTATAGCACAAACATCATCACTACAACACAAACATCATCACTACAACACAAACATTATCACTACAACACAAACATCATCACTATAACATAAACACCATCACTACAATACAAACATCATCACTATAACAAACATCATCACTACAACACAAACATCATCACTACAACACAAACATCATCACTATAACACAAACATCATCACTAGAACATAAACACCATCACTACAATACAAACATCATCACTATAACAAACATCATCACTACAACACAACCATCATCAACACAACACTATGATCATCACTACAACACAAACATCATCACTACAACACAAACATCATCACCATAACACAAACATCATCACTATAACAAACATCATCACTACAACACAACCATCATCACTACAACACAACCATCATCAACACAACACTATGATCATCACTACAACACAATCATCACTATAACACAAATCATCACTATAACACAAACATCATCACTATAACACAAACATCATCACTACAAAACAACATCACTATAATAACCATCATTATTACAACACGACACAATTCTCATCAAATACCTCTTACTACATAAATTACGATTTATCTAGAGGAGAGGATGGCTGCTGGTGTCTGAGTAAATTCTGCATGACAAAATGCAAGAACAACGAACCCAAAGACGTTGCATTGAGACAAAAGGATTCCTGGAATTCGTTAACCAGAAACTACAAATCACTGGGTGTAAAACCGATGTGATACTGCGTGATGATCTCTATCACAAGTATAAGATGTATTGTAAATGCCGAGGTCTAATGCCAGCTACCATTGTTAATGTTGGGCGAACACTGGCAAAAAAGGGTGTGAAGTCCCCCTCCCGTATCGGCGGGATAAACGGTAAGGGCCAGAAGTACGGATATACGGGAATCGTCTTCCAACCTTGTATGGAAGTCGTGCCATGGCACCCATATTCTGCCGTTTACAGCATGCACTCTGATAGTGTCATTAGTGGAAAACGAAAATTAGAAGAGCAAGATCAGAACGAACCAAAAAGAGCCAAAATTACTGGTGAAATAATAGATCCAATTTCAACCTTTTTGGAAAGCTTCGTCTCCACTTCGCTCGACCATAATGAACTGGTCCGTCAAAATGACTTATTTAACGAATACAGAGAATACTGCCGCCAAAATGGTCTAGAAGGATATAACAACATTAAGTTGGGGAGACTCATGACTGCTCGAGGTTTTAAACCCACCGTGAGAGTTGGCTAACCAAACAGCCAACAATACTGCTATCCAGGCCTTAAATGGATTCGTGAAGCACCCAGTGGCAACAACTACACTAACCTTAAACAACAGCGCTGTCACCGGGTCTGCCCAGACCGGGTCATATCAGAAGCCAAACGATATATCTTGACTTGCCTAGCAATCCAGTTTGTCACCCAAGATTGATTCTTGTGAACCAGCCGCCGCGGCACCTGTAGAGTCAACGTATTTCTGACTGAAATAAAAATTAATATTATTTATCAAATAGTTTTACTAATCTTATTTTTATTTATGTGTTTTGTTTTGTTAATTCATTACCCTAAATAAAGTGTCATATGTTGATTATATTTTGAAGGAAATTCATTCTTGTCCCTCGCCCCCCTCCAAAAAAAATCAGAAGTGTCAGAAACCTTGGTCATGAATGGTTATCTTGTTTGACGGGAACCAACACGTGTTTCGAACTTGCCCCCCCCCCGTCTACTTATACCCCACATCCCCGTCTACCCCACCCACCATCCCGTCTACCCCACACCCCATCCCGGTCTACCCCACACCCCATCCCCGTCTACCCCACACCCCATCCCGTCTACTCCCACACCCCATCCCCGTCTACCCCACACCCCATCCCCGTCTACCCCACACCCCATCCCCGTCTACCCCACACCCCATCCCCGTCTACCCCACACCCCATCAACCTAACTTCATCCCACAAGCAGCCTCAGACAAGTGGAAATTGTCGGAAATTTTCGAGATGATGATGAGTTTGATGACTGTGAAGGGAAGAAACGCAGGTAATTTGCTCCCACTAACTTACCAAACCCAGAAAGGAAGGAAAAATCACTACCAATGCCGAGCAGACCTGTGGTGACCTGACCCAGAAGTGACCGCTGATGATGACTGAGAAACGAGGGTAATAAACGAGACAGAAGAAGAGAATAAGAATGAGAGACATGGAGGAGGAATGAGATAAAGAAAATTTGAAAGGAAAAATTGACACTTGAATAATTTTCAGCCAGTTGAAGTGCTTTTATATTAACACACTGATAACACTAACAGATTTTAGTTTTAATAATATACTGTACATGTACCATTTTATGTCAAATTCTCTAAATCAAATATGCTGATTAGGAAAAAGAAAACCATTCCATTGAACTTTAATTCACCACAGACATTGCAGGAGGGATTTTCATTGTTTCTGCACACTGGCGATATTATGCAGTTCTTCTTATATGAAAAAAAATAGCAAATGATTGTTAACAAAAGCTTTAATCTTCAGCATTAAATTCCAACAACCAATTAACTGAGAAAGAACATAAACTAACATAATCTATAGGCAGTACAAGAGAGAACCACCTGACCAAGAGGCAGCACGTGGGCAAATGTCGGAGAACCTTGCTGTGAAGGGTGTGTGGGTTGTGGGGTGGGGGTTGGGGGGTCTATAGGAGTTGTGGGGTTGTGGGCTGTGGGTGTGGGTTGCTGGTTGCGGGTGGCGGTGGGGGGGTGTGGATTTGAGGATGTGGGTGGGGTTTTGTGGGGTGGAGTAAGGATCAGTGGAGAAGACTAAACCACTTCAAAAACAACCGTAAATTCTTATTGTTACTGACATTATATCTGTTGATTATACATTGAAAAACAAAAACAACAACTCCGCCTTTTTTAACAAGAGAAATGGATGTATG